AATTGATTGAAGAGGCATACTCATCTAGAATTTAGTCAAATCAATATCAAGTGAAGTTATCAAAAATAGAATGATATAACTAAGGAAATAAAATAACTTTTTTAGATGCAACAAAAACTATTTGTATTACAAACCAAAATCATGTGTAAAATAAGAGGTGATTTTTTCTTATTTTTTCTTTACTACTTTATTTTTTATTAATTTTATTATTTTCTACTATTAGTTGCCATGTGACAAGTTATTTATTATATCATACTTATTCTAGCAAAAAAAAGTTTTGATTTATCCACCACAAAATTCACTACCACAAATTTTATTTACCAGTACATTTAAATTTAAAAATATTAAGCTAAATTCTAGCGAACATTGCTTGAAAATAATTTGAGCATTCTATTTAAAATTGAATAGTTATAATAAATTTATTAAATTTATAAACGTTTGAATAATTTTTAAATTTGATCAGGTTTTTGTTAAGTTATTTTTATTTGAAGTTTTAAAAAAATTTACAAAAAAAATTTGCTTCTATATTCATATAATAGGCATTCAATATTTGCGAATCTCAACATCATATCGATATTAAATTGTTCTTAAGATAAAGTTAGATTTCAATTTCCAATGACTTATTTCGGTTTGATCTTTGATAATTTACTTTCGGATAAGGGATTTAAACTCTTAATAAGTTATTTCATGATTATTTATTATTCTATTAATATAATAGTTAAATAAGTTATAATTTTCTTCAATTGCTATTTCTTTAAAACCATACATTCTACCATTTAAATAATGAACAAATAAATCTTTTAGATTGGCTTCTATTTTTTTATTGTTAGCATAAAAATAGGAAAATTCTTGTTTTAGAGTATCAAAGATCTCATATTCGTCTGTATATGATATAATATTATCATTAAGAGACTTTCCAGTTTGTGTCTAGAAATTTTTCTATAAGTCTTCATCAGCATCATCTATTAATGAATTTCTAATGATAAACTATTTACCTTTAACAAACTTTGAAGCTATTTTGTATAGGTCAAGATAATCATTTTTATCAAAAATTTTTTTATTCCAAATAAGAAGATTGCAAAAAAAGTTTTAACTAAAAGAGACTTCAATAGTAGAAAATTGGAGGTTGGTTGTGTTTATGACTTTAACATTAAGTCCTTTTGACTGTAATAAATTTTTGATTTTTTCCGATAAAGAGAAGTGATGCATGATTTTTTGGTTATTGATCATGATAAAATATTCTATTAAGTTATATGCCTCATTATTTTTCAAGTTAAAAAACACTGTTTTATATAAACGAAAAAAATCTAGTTTCTTATTTTAATATATATATTTTTAATATACATATTTTAATAATTAATACAATTATTTATTAATTTATAAAAGAAAAAAATACTATTAGTTAATTTTTGTTATACCAATATGTATTGTATGAATTGTCATTTGGTCACTTGTTATAT